TGCCACTGGAGGTGGATGGTTGCATATGTGTGGGGTTTTTTGTGTTGGCTCTTGGAGGTTGAGACAAGAGGGGATGAGAGAGGGCATGTTAGAGTGTGGTATGCTGTCAGGGTAGATAGAAAGCTGTGACCTTGTAGAAGGGAGAATGGTGCGTGCCAGATGGTGCCCCCACCCTGGCGTGAGGTTGCTGTACCTGATGCAGCTGCCCCTCCTTTCTCCCCTTCCCAACAATGAGTGAATGCAGTCAACCTAGGACAGGAAGTGTGCTGCTGGCAGAATCACCAAAGAAGAATAAAGAGAAAAAACTAATCAAAAGAAAACGAATGCAGCCACCACATCTAAGGATTTGACAAGCTGCAATATATTACATTTTTGCTCTTGCTTTTAGATCCCTTGTCAGATTTGCTGTAGAATTCTTATCTACTGCTCTGCACTGCTGCTTTGCCACTGAGCTTTCATATATCAAAGCAATACTGACATCAGCAGTGAACAAAGTCAATCGATCAATCAATTAAAAAAACACCATTGTTTTCTTCTGAACACTCCACAGCCTTTCACAATAACCCCATCGGCTGATACATTATCATCAGTCTGAATTACTGAGTCATCGCAGACAGATGAATTATATCTGGATTATAATCAGGTCTTTCACAAAGTCACGGTGAATACCTGGGTGCACATTCAGTCTCAGTTATTGCTCATTGTTTCCCAGCGTCAAGCAGGCAACTAAAAAAAAAAACGCATTTTCAAAAGTGACCATTAAAATGTAAGGTAATGACAATGCAGAGAGAGACCTGAGTGGATGGAAGAAAAACACTGAAACTAGATTAGTGGAAAAACTTAGCTTGCCTATCAGTGTATTCTAAACACTGGTGTGCAAGGGACAGGCAGGCAAGGAAGCCAATGGGAAAACCCCAACACATTTAGACTAGCAATAAATGGAATGAATTTCCTGAAGCTGACATTTTCATTTTGACATGAAATTACTGACTTCGCTGTAATTTCACCAACTGTTGCTTAAACGAAATTTCATTTAAAGAAAAAGGAAATAATAAGAAAAGCCCCTGCATGTTGCTTTGCAAGCATTATCACTCCCCAAGCCATCCCTAGTAGCCTTGGCGAAATCTGGGGGATAATTGCAGTGCACATAGCATGCTGAGTAAAGTGTTCTGTAGAAGCACATTTCTTACATGGCAGCAAAACATGGGGATAATAGTTGACAGAGCCGGGCTGCCAGGGAAATAACTTGAAATAACTTCATTCTCTAAACAAACATCTATAACATGACACTAAAATAGGCATGAAATGACATAAAATAGGTAAGAAACTGGTAACTGTTACTCTATGCAGCCTAAAAATAGTCAAGCATGACAATTTGTGGGTACCTAAAGGGTAACTGTTACAATTCATGGGCAACAAACAAGCAATCATTACAGCATACAGATACCAAAAGGGCAATCATTACAACAAACAAACAGGCAACAAACATGCAGCTATTACAATATGCAGGTAATAAATGAGCAATCACGACATTATGAGACAAAGAAATAGCTATTCTTGACAATACGTGACCAACAAATTGGCAATCATGATCGTATATGGCCAACGAAAATGGGCAATAAAAACAATATATGGCCAAGAAATGAGCAACTGTGACAATGCATGCCCAAAAAATGGGCAATCATGAAAATTCATGGCCAACAAATGGGCAATCATGAAAACAGACGGCCAACAAATGGGTAATCAAGAAAATACATGGCCAACAAATGGGCAACAATAAAAACACACAGACAACAAATGGGCATTCAAGAAAATACATGGCCAACAAATGGGCAATCATGAAAACGCATGGCCAACAAATGGCCATTCATGAAAATACATGGCTAACAAATGGCCAATCATGAAAATACATGGCTAACAAATGGGCATTTAAGAAAATACATGGCCAACAAATGGGCAATCATGAATACGCATGGCCAACAAATGGCCAATCATGAAAATACATGGCTAACAAATGGCCAATCATGAAAATACATGGCTAACAAATGGGCAATCATGAAAATACATGGTTAACAAATGGCCAATCATGAAAATACATGGCTAACAAATGGCCAATCATGAAAATACATAGCTAACAAATGGGCAATCATGAAAATACATGGCCAACAAATGGACAATCATGACAATGCATAGCCAACAAATTGGCATTCATGACAATACTTAGGCAAAAACGTAATATAAATGATAATATATTATTGTGGCGCCCGATGTCTATAAGTGAAACAATAATATGAAAACCGCAACACGCCGGCAATGTGACTTAACAGCTGCCCCTAAAAAGTGACAAAACACTTAGCCATAAACAATCATGAATAGATAGGCGCTGTGCAACCATATAACATATAAGCAACAAGACATCTCTCTGTATCTTATAGCAGCTAATACAAAGTATGTTAATAAATAGTCCAAATGAAATCTATACAACAATAGTGTACATTTAACAATACTGAACGTGAAAAGAATAATCACAATATTTATGGTGACAGTCCTTTCAAGATATGTTGCTGTGGACCAAAACTTTGTGCGCTTTCACCTCGTGCAGATGAAATAAGTAAGTGAATTGCTCACTCACCAGAAGTATTTGACCCCAGTTAAGGTGGTAAAAAAAACCACATTATTAGGATATACATAGAAGGTCCGCATCTGGCTCTCCTAGGATATTCCTCCTGGTCATCAGCACATCACAGGTAATAGCCCTAGATGGATAATTCAAAAGATTCCATATAAACCAGCAATGTATGGACTGCCGATACCAGGCTCTCCTTGCCAATGAAAATATGCTCCAAGTGGCTGTTCGGTCTCCCCCGGGGCTGTCCTCTCTTCCCCGTTGAAGGATACGTCACCGCGCTCAGTCAGGCAGCTCTCCCCTGGTTTATTTGGAATCTTTTGAATTACTGGAGATTCCCAGCTGGCACCCGGAGATCACCAAGGAACAATGACGGGGGAGAGGTCTGTATATAAACAATATAGATCTCTCCCGTCAGCTCCAGCATGCTGCTTTGTATTGCTCTGCATAGCAAACCAAACCAAAGCAGCATGCCTACACAGTAAAACACAGCACGCAGCACACAGTAAAACACAGCACGCAGCACACAGTAAAACACACACAGCACACAATAAAACATACACAGCACACAGTTAACCCTTTGATCACCCCAGATGTTAACCCCTTCCTGCCCAGAGTCATTAGTACAGTGTCAGTGCTTTTTATTAGCAATGAACACTGTATTAGTGTCATTGGGGATGTCAGTGACAGTTAGTCAGTTCTCCCCCCACTGTAAGAATGCCCGCCGCAATCCCGCAGTCCCACAATCCCACTATAAAATCCCAGTATATATACCGCCATTTGTAAACACTATAACTTTCACGTAAACCAATTAATTTACACATATTGGGATTTTTTTTAGCAAAGACATGGAGCAGAATACATTTTATTGCAAATCTATGACAAAATTAGATTTTTTTAATTTGTTTACAGCACATGTTTAATAGCAAAAAGTCAAAAATATTGTTTTTTTTCAAAACTGTCTTTTTTTGTTTATAGTGCAAAAAATAAAAAACCGCAGAGGCGAACAAATACCACTGAAAGAAAGCTTCATTTGTGGGAAAAAAGGAAATAAATTTCACTTGAGTGCAGCATTGCATGACCGCGCAATTGTCAGTTAAAGTAACGCAGGGTCGTAACGTATAAAAACGGCCTGGTCAGGAAGGGGGAAAATCCTCTGGAGGGCAAGTGGTTAATTAACATAGACCAAATTTCACATCTTGGTAGAGTAACTCTTCCTCTATAGTAGCTCCTTCTATTTCATTTAGCAAAGACATATAGCAGAATACATTTTTGCCTAAATTTATGACGAAATTAGATGTTTTACATTTTTTTACTGGATATGTTTTATAGCGAAAAGTCAAAAATATTGTTTTTTTCACAAAATTGTCAGTCTTTTTTTGTTTATAGCGCAAAAATAAAAACCACAGAGGCAAACAAATACCACCAAAAGAAAGCTCCATTTGTGGGGAAAAAAAGGACACAAATTTTATTTGGGTACAGTGTTGCATGACAGCGCAATTGTTAGTTAAAGTAATGCAGCGCTGTATCGCAAAAAGTGGCCTGGTCAGGAAGAGGGGTAAATCCTTTGGAGGACAAGTGGTGAACACAAAATGCTGAACAGCAGACAAACAACTTAATATACAGTTAAACAATATGTGTATTTAAATTGTGTTACATTCCAAATGGTTTTCAATTCTGCCCAGCTATTCTTGTGTTTCATGCACCCCTACCAGACAGCATAGCCTGGCCTGTGACCTCCTTGCAAATGACACTTCACTTAATCAATACAGCTAAGTACATAACATGGCCAGCTTATTACTGTCAAGGAAAGAAAAGCAGCTCATTGATAAACTCATCATTGTGCTTTTTCCTCCAATTAGAAATCTCCCAGAATTAAACTGACAACACTGTGCAATGTAATTTATTTCAGGTACTTATATAGTGCCATCAATTTACGCAGCGCTTTACATAAATATTATACATTCACATCAGTCCCTAACCCTCAAGGGGTGTACAATCTAAGGTCCCTAACTCACATTCATACATACACATACTAGGGACAATTTTGACAGGATCCAATTCACCTACCAGCATGTCTTTGGAGTGCGGGAGGAAACCGGAGTACCCAGGAGAACCCATGCAGTCACTGGGAGAACATGCAAACTCCAGCCAGATGGTGCCATGGTCGGGATTTGACGCAACGACCCTAGTACTGCCAAAAGGAAGTGCTAACCATTTAGCCACTGTGCTGCCCCATGTAATAGAACCTGGTTGGTTTATAGTGCTGTCCCCCACCTTGTTTGAGTGCTGCTGTGCAGAGGATTATAGGAAATTCAACTACTTATAAGAGTTTTGTACACCAAGTCATTTTTTAAATGAATGGATAGCATACATACAGTATATGCAGTTTTTATACCTGTCTGATGGAAACATTGCATGGATCCGCCCAGGGGCGGACTGACAACTCATGGGGCCCCCAGGCAATAGGGGATCATGGGGCCCCTGTGTCCTTGCCCACACTCAAATTACACCCAAAAAAGCCTATGAAAGGTACCAGGGGCATCTCATGGGGCCTCCTACTGACCCCGGGCCCTCGGGCAGTGCCCAAGTTCCCAAATGCTCAGTCCGCCCCTGGATTCACCTGATAAGTCACTGTGATAAGTATTGTAAAGCGCTGCGCAAACTGTTGGCACTATATAAATCCAGGGGTGCCCGTAGTGAAAGAAAGAAAGAGAAGAATAGCGCAGGGCAGACATGACTAGGTGAAGGGGGAGAAAAGACAGGAAAGGGTTAAGTTAAAGGGGAAGGCTTAAAAAAGATAGTAAGGTTACCTGATTGGTGTTAGTAGGTTTGGGTGGGATCAACCTGAATCTTGGGGAGTGCTGACAGGTCGGACGAGCCAGTGCTGGATAGCAGCTGAAGAGAGAAGTTCCCTGCCCTTCCCTGGGGTGTTTGTTCTGTTTGGCTTGTTTAGTTTGGTGGCAGTTGTTGGTCTTGGTAGGTTGTTAATGGTTTGTGATAAGTGTATGGTTGGGACCCATCTGTGGTATGGTGTGCCCGGGTAAATTCCAGTTAACCGAGGTTTAACTGGAAGGTGGAGGTCTACCTGCAGAAGGTGTGTCCTTGTCTCCGAGTCGGTGCGTTGCGGCTGGAGGCCTAATAGGAACATTAAGGTTAAGGTTCCACAGGGGGAGATCGATATTGTTTTGGGGGCCTGCCTAGACCAACAATTCATTCTGTAAATTTATGGAGGTTTCTGTTTTAAGGAATGTTTTCTGTATATTTAAGTTAAATTGTTAATAAAAGGCCGTGAAGGCCATTTTACTCCCACAAAGTGTGGTCTCCTTTTATTGGTGGAGGAAGTGTTGGGAAATGGGGTTTTTGGTAAGTATGTTTTGGGGGTGTTACAGGGGTGGACTGACAACTCATGGGGCCCCCGGGCAATAGGGGATCATGGGGCCCCTGTGTCCTTGGCCAAACTCAAAAAAGCCTATGAAAAAGGTACCAGGGGCATCTCATGGGGCCCCTACTGACCCCGGGCCCTCGGGCAGTGCCCGAGTTTCCAAATGGTCAGTCCGCCCCTGGGGTGTTAGCATTTGACAACACATCTCTTCTACACTAGTCATGTATAATAATATAATAATAATAAAAAAAATTAAAAAGAGGCAGACTCTTGGACCAGTCAGTCTATTTCTGCCATCATTCTTCTTTGTTTTTAGGAAAAATATTAGGTGAGCATTCAACCTACTGGGTAAAATGATTTAATATGATTACTACTGTAATCCTAGATTCTGTCAGCAGGTGGAGATATAAGCTCCTTTTCATATTTTCCAATTTCTCCTTACCACTTGTTGTAAAAAAAAAATGCTGTATAGGTCTTTTGCGCACAGACGTTTGCAGTAGTGAAACATGCCTACCATAAAATCCCTGGTGCTTTCCTACGTCCAGGGAACTTCAGGTGAAGTGTACAGCCAGGACTTTTTTCTCAGAGAATAGGTGCAGGCACTCCCCCCTTCTGAGTCACTTCTTGTCTCTGCCCCCTCTACCCACCTCAGAGCACCGTCCACTAATTCCACCCCCTACCCATCTTCCAGGACCATTCTTTTTAGAGAGTACAGAGCCAAGTGTCATTATGTGGTGATAATTTGCATGGAATTTGTTAATGATAACAAGAAAAGCAGTACAACAGATCCCTTGCAGCCATCAGCAATAGACCCCCTTCCCAAGCAACAACAGATTCCCCCAGAAACAATGGACCCCCTCAACAAAATACCACCCCATCAATAAAAGACCCCAGCAGCAACAACAGATCTCCCAGCAACCAGCATCAATTAAATGCCCAGCAGCCAGCAACAATAGACCCCTCCTTCAACAGTAGATCCCTTTCAGTAAAAATTTTACCCCCATCAGCAATAATAGATTCCCCACAGTAACAAAAGACCACCACACAAAAACAGATCCCCACCAGTGACGATAGATCCCCCAGCAGCCATTACATACATTCAGTGCTGGAAGTCCGGGAACTGCTTTTCCCTGTGTTCCCCCTGTACAGCCAGCAAAGAAGTAAAGGACTGTATGCCCCTGTACTCAGCATTTAACTGCGCATGTGCCTATGACCACTTTCCTGAACACAGAAGTTTTAAAGTTCAGAAAATATGTCATCTGCACAGGTAAGTAGCAATGCACAAAACATAGGTGTTTATACAAGAACAGGGCCAGTCACTTCCATGGCCAGCTGTATGCCTCACCTGCAGCACCTTGGGCACAAGAAAATGATGGGAAATTTACGCTAGTCATATTTTATGGCTGCAAATGTCTGTGCCAGTAAGGCTTAGAAACATAGAAAATGATGGCAGAAAAAGACCGAGTGGTCCATCGAGTCTGCCTTTTTGTTGTGTGTTTTTTTTTTTTTTTTTTGGGGGGGGGTTGTTTGTTTTTTTTTTTTGGTTGGGTGTGTTTTTCTTAATAAAAAAATAGATTCCTTCCCAACAGCACAGTGGCTAAATGGTTAGCACTTCTGCCTGGCAGTACTAGGGTCGTCAATTTGCATCCCAGCCACAGCACCACCTGCCTTGAGTTTGCATATTCTCCCTGTGCCTGCGTGGGTTCCCCCCTGGGTACTCCAGTTTCCCCCCACCCTCCAAAGACATGCTGGTAGGTTAACTGGCTCCTGTATAAATTGTCCCTAGTATGTGTATGTATGAATGTGAGTTAGAGACCTTAGATTGTATGCCCCTTGAGGGTTAGGGACTGATGTGAATGTACAATATATATATATATGTGTGTAAAGCGCTGCATAAATGGACGGTGCTATATAAGTACCTGAAATAAATAAATTGACCCCCCCCCCAGCAGCATGATCCTTTTTATAGGTGGTAAGAAGAAATTGGAAAAACAGAAAAAGAGTCTATATCGCCACCTGCTGGCAATATCTAGAAGAGTATAATAGTCATATGTAACATTTCATGTTTACCTGACAAAGAAAAAAAAAACATTGCCTGACTGACTCCAACAATAACACAAAGAAAATATGTACATAGCCCCTTAAAAAAAAACCCATAAAACACCTACTGTAATGGTTACTTAGGAGCTGGAAAACAGCATGTGCTATTTGCAGGCAGTTGGGCAGGGTAGTACCATAGAGTTCCTCTAACCCCCAACTCTTCAAGAGTCATCCTCAAAAAATTTAAGGGGCTATTTACAGAGGAGTGTAGATACTGTTATAGAATTATAAAAATTGAATTGTTAATATTCTTGTATAAGCCCCATCTTGACTGTAACAATATTAAAGTCACATCAATTATTACATTCAGGTAAACTGCAGAAATAATTACAATGTGTACTGACAGAAAATACAGTCTTTCCTTCAGAATACTAATTACCACCCGCATGCTCTTGATATGCTGCTTTGTAACAGTTCTGCATCATTAGACATCCAATTTTTGGACCTTTACTCTGAAATTTATGTTCTTCCAATTCAGATGCATTTCATGAGAATTAAAAAAAAAAAAAGAGCGGACTGAAGAAAAATTACATGTCCGAGGGGTCAAAAATGGATGTTTGCAAAGAGTCAGGAAAAACTCGCAGTTGCCATGGTGACCGAACCGCGGAGATTTAGAAAACAATAATGCCAGGACTTCTTCTTTATTTCAAATGGTACAGAGTATACAGGGACCACCCTGCTAACATTATTACAGTTGTGGTCACGGCGGCCTACTGGGATGAATTACTCAGTTTAATGGGTTGTTCACAAGTGGAGAAGTTACTGCTATGTACTTGTATTTATCTGAGTCTTGTTAGCTACCAGACGGTTCTGCTGACCTTTCAACTTCACTGAGAGGATGAAATCCCAGGCCTGGAGCCCCGGTCACATCAAGTTAACTTATATAGATTATAGAGATCGGCTCTCATGGGGCTATGCATCACATAACCGGGTTAAAATACCAGACATGCATGAGATGACTTCTCTAGGATTGTGAGTTTATGAAGACCTGGGATGAAGACCTGTATCTGGTCTTTGGCATGATAGATCGAAGTATATATCGCCAGCACATGGTGGATCATCAAAATTTGGCACCCAAATGTTTATTTGAGAGGGTCACCTCACAATCGTAAAGTGCAACATTTTGGGGCCATGCAGGACTCCTTCATAGCCTACGTGGCACCGAAAATGTTACATCTTAGCATTGTGATCTTCTCGTTTGGAGGTTAGTCTTGACACATCCACAATGTGATGGCAATATATACTTCAACCACATTGGCCATAACACCATGGATCGTCAAAATTGGTGCCCAAATGTTAATTTGAGAAGATCACATCATAGCAATAAGGATCCCTCCATGGCCCGTGTGGCCTTAAACCATTACATCTTACCACTGTGATGTGATCTTCTCAAATAACTGTTTGGATGTTAATTTTTAACTATCTACAGTGTGCTAGTGATATATACTTCAACCACTTTGGCCAACCACATTGGGCAGCACACAATGGATTGTCAAAATTGGTGTTCAAATTTTTATTTGAGAAGATCACATCACAGAGGTAAGGTGCAACGTTTCGGGGCCACGATGGACTTCTCCATGGCCTGTCTGGCCCTGAACGTTAATCTATAGCAGCCTTTCTCAAACTTTTCAACATGCAGGAACCCTTCAAATAACTTTCCAGTCTCAGGGAATCCCTGATAATGACTATACAGTATCTACAATTTATGATACATTAGTGTGATGGTCAGTAGGAAGAATGCTCCTTACACTTGTGGACATTGAGAAGAATTACCCCATTACAGATAGCTAAAAAGATCAATGGTGTCAGTGGGAACTTATCTGAGAGGCAGAAATTGCTCAAGGAATCCCTAGTAAACTCTGGAGGAAGCTCAGAGTCTTGAGAAACTCTGACCTACAGTGTCACCAGTCTCCAGATGGTATTTGCTACAGCACCTGCTTACTATATGGCCTTTTGCAGGAATGTGTGTGATGGGAATATTGCACAAGGTCCTGAACATGGGATATGGGGCCGCTGAGAGCTCACCATGCACAAGGGAATGTACCCACAAAGATAGAATTTGCATCATCATGATGACATATTCTTTACACCAGGGTCAATGCCTGAACAGGTACACATCCGAAGTTAAAAAGGCAAATGAGAGTGGGTGTTGAAAGGCAGGTTATGTCAGGAAGTGTTGGGTCTCCTCCTTGTGATCTGTATGGCGTCAAGGGCCAGCTCTATACAGCACAGAACAGTCCCTGCACTTTGATCAGGCAAAATCACTTGGTAAGTGTGATGGTGGAGTCATGTTTAGAATAAAGGTTTATTGTTTTACAAAGATACACAAAGTTCTAGGAAGACCTTCCATCTGCCATGACTTCTTGAAACAGTACATATAGGGAAAACACATGGCAAGCAATGGACCATCTAGAATTTAAATCAGTCCGGATTTGCAAACCACCATAATTTAAGGTCGCAGGGTACAACCCACTCATTATTGATAACCACACTTAAAAACTTGGTACCCATGGTTTGATGAAGTTGACCTTCAGCCACTCAGAAGTAAAATAACGGTGCATGTCTGTGATTTATTCATGTATGTGCCTATCTATTCTGAAGCATTGACACCAAGCCACAGCATCGCAAGAGGAAAGAGAAAGAAAGGAGGAAAGTGAGAAGTCAAAAAAGGAGAAAGGTAGCCAGAGGGCATGTAGGAATCATTAGGAGGACACTGGGTTGGTAGCTAGCAAGACAGATGCATTTGGGCTGGGTGAGTAAAAAAAACTCCAATAGTTGGACAGCAGTGTGTTTGGAGTATCTCCCAGGTAGGTGGGCTATGAAAGCATGCATCCTGTTATCTCACCCTCTAATGTGCCAGGCTAGTCAAACTAAGGACACCCACTTTCCTCTTGATGGTACAAAAACACCTTCAACCACAGTCGAGCAGTGGACTTGTAACCTTACAACTCTTGTAACAGCCGTGAATGTATATGTTCCTTGTTTGGAGAGTGCCCTGTAGTGTCCCACAGCTATTGAATACCATAAGTATCTATTCATACTTATGCATGCACATTATGATATGCACATGTGACACCCACA